ACTTTCCGTGACTTTGTATTTGATGCTGCAATACAGTTATTAGGAAAGTTTGCAAAAGATGTCCCAGGTATTCAGCGGCCCATCATAAACCCACTGTTGCAGCATGCTGGTACTCCACGCCTCGCTCACACTGAAGGCTTCCTAGCACACAAACTTAAGTATTTGCCACCTGGTGTGAAGCGTGCAATAGCCCAACGTGATTGCTTGGTGTGTAAAACAACGACACGTAGAGACAAGAAACGGAAGCTTGTGCAAACATGGTGTGAAACGTGTGGTATCCCATTATGTGCTGTCGACTGCTTCAATGACTACCACAGTCTAGAAATCTTCTAAGTGTGCTTCAAAGTGTGTATAGCGTGTGCGAGTGTGTAAATATGTAAACATATAAGCAGATAGCGTGTGCGTGTGTGTAAATATATACAAATATAAGCAGAACATACAATATAATAGACTGTAATGACATATTATATTGCCGTAATTGAAAACATTTGTGTGCGCCTGTGTATACTCAAATATGCAACAATTATTGATACAAAATATGTTCAAACAGTATTTGAAACACAATTAGTGAAAAAAAATTATATAAAATGCGCTTAGACATTGTAAATAAATAGCGCGAAAATATATTTGTGGCAACTCTGGCTGTTTGAGGACCGCGCGCAACACCTCCCGGGCGTGTACTGCATGAGCGAACATGCAGATTGTGACGTCATCACCGAGCTTCTCGGCTCTATTGCAACAAAAGTACAATAGAATTTTTTTTTTATTTTTCCCATGATCAGTGAACAGAACTTAACAGATTAGCAAAAAAAAAAAATTTTTTTTTTTTTCAAAATGACATGCGCCTGTGCGGATGGCAGGATATTAGACCCCGAGCATGTTAAGGGTTAAGTAGCGAACGCATGTCAACGAATAACGAGTATATATAACAAAACTATTGTCCTAAAACTAAAAGTCGATAAAACTTCCAAACATATATTTTTTTAATAAATGTTAAATGTTTTCTGGCTAGTTATGTTAGATTTTATTAAAAATACGTATTCTACTTGTTAACATTATAATTTAAATTTGTGATAATTTGTGCAGAGAAGTGCGACAACTGGATATGCCAACAAACACTTTCCAAACAACGATATATCTTGGATAAGTCGCTCCACAACATTGACGCTTGGACCGTCGACTTCCTTTGATGCTACTTATTTACTTATTTCATAATGAAATTATATTAGTTTGGAGTAAATATATGTTTTCTCATGTTCTGCATTCAGCACCCACATTATAGTAAATATACCATATTACTTCATTACTTAAATAATGCTAGGAGGGTTTGAGTAGCTTTGGGTCTTTAGTGGACAGAATCTCCAATAGATGGGGCGAGAGTCGCTTCCTCTCTCTCCCCCGAGCAAGAGTCGAAACTTAATTTAAAATTGATATATCTTTGTTCTCGAACATGATATATTTCATTTGGTGAAATCATAATAATGTTCATATCTCGGTCTTTCTGGAGGCATATAAGATTTTAGGCTTTATTAACGTATCTTTGTTAATTATACAATATATCTGCAAGTGCGTAGGCGTCTGCACTCCATGCCCGACAAGCTACTGAGCGCTACTATAAAAACATATGTATCTTCACTTGAGCTATAAATATGTCTATTGTAATGTATTTAAAATGAAGCTCTTATTTCTATCTTGCTTAAGACATATAAAACATTTGTGTTTATTAACGAATTTACGTGAAATAAACATTGATCTGAGAGAGAGTTGCTCTGTCGTTCAGTCTGTACGGGGTGGGAGCTCCGTAATTTTTAAAATACATGTATCTTCATTAGAACTTTAAATATGTCCATGGTAAAGTGTTTAAAGTGAAGCTTATATGTCTGCCTTTCTTGAGACATATAAAATATATATGTTTATTAACGAATTCACTTGAAATAAACATTGTTCTGAGAGAGAGTTGCTCGGTCGAGCAATCTGTCCGGGGTTAAAGCTCGGCTATTATAAAAGTACACGTATCTTCGCTTTAAATTTAAATATGCCCATGGTAAGGTATTTAGAATGAAGCTTATATTTCTATCTTTCTTGTGACATATAAAACTCTTACGTTTATTAAGGAATCTGTGTGAAATAGGCATGGTTCTGAGATGAATGCTGCGGTTTTCGAGCTCGACGCACGGCAATGGACGCCATACACATCCAGTGGGTGTTATTGGACCCTATACCCATTTTATTTGTGGTTGGAGCCCCATACCCATTCTATGGGTGGTTGGAGCCCCATACCCATCCTGTGGGTTGTAGTGGACGCCATACTCATCCTGTGGGTGGTATTGGACCCCATACTCATATTGGATCACATCCACCCTTCCTGTGGGTGGATGTGATCCCCATACTCATCCTGTGGGTGGATGTGACCCTCATACCCATCCTGTGGGTGGTATTAGACCCCTTTCCCACCTAACAGGCGGTAGGTGACAATATACCCATCCTAGCTATTGTTGGTATAGTAGACACAATACCGTCCTGTTTGCAGTAGTTTACCCCATAGACATTCCAACATAACATCGTTTTCTGTTAGCGTTCCTACAAAACATCCTTTAAAGATTTGTAAAGCACAAACTATGGTATATAATATTGATTGGTGAAGGACTGTTATTCTATGTAATAATTTTTAGTGCTTATTATAATTTACTAAGAACAACTAATATTTCTCAAAACAAAACTACGAGCCTTCAATAGGAAGTAGCTGATCTGTAATATTCTAAGAGCATGGACAATAGTAGGTAAATTTCACAACCCATGTGGGACCTGAAAACTACAATTTTCCTTATAATTGAACCAATCACGAATATTCTGCTATCTATGTTGACGGACGGGTACTGTGACACGTAAATTGGTACGTGAGGAAGAGTTTGGGCCATGGTAAAAAAAGTAACTGGGAATATATCACATATTTACTAATTCATATTCAACATATTGACTTTAAGCATTAAGTCATATATGTGCTGTCTTGTGTGAGAACGGGTTGATATTTTCACCAGAATAGGGGGTTTGTTTTGGGATGCCTACCTTTCTGGGTGCCAGACCTGGTCGATGGCAGACATAAAATGCTTCCAACTACATGGGGGTTTCTATAGGCCATTGCGCCTCATGTCTCTCTGAGGGGGTCAGGTTCTGGCTCATAGTCCCCAGTAGGCAAAAACATCATGCACATTGACTGATGCCAGAAAGCTAATATATACATATCAGCCTGGATAGCTCTGGGGAGCCAATGGGGCTCCCCCCAGAAAAATCCTAGTGTCATCTGCAAAGTGCAGATTGCTATACTATACAGTGCTATAGATTGTGTCCTTGTCTATGTCTGATATGAGGATGAGAAAAAGTACTGGGGCAAGCACAGTACCTTGGACCGAGCTCTTCATGGTTGATGGTCCAGATTATATTTTGTTGACTATTACATACTGAGTTCTGCAGGCAATGAGTCACAATAATGTGGCTGAAGTATGTTGACCAGACCACACACTAGAAGGTGAAGGGATGACGACGTTTCGGTCCATCCTGGACCATTCTCAAGTCGATTGTGAATGATCCAGGACGGACCAAAACGTCGTCGTCCATTCACCTTCTACTGTGTAGTCTGGTCAACATATTGAGTTCTGTTAGTCCATCTGCCTATTTTTCCAATAACTGCTTTTGCACGCATTTTGTGTGCAATAGCACCATGGTCACATTTGTCAAAGGCTTTTGCAAACTCTGTAAATTACATCAGCATTTTGTTTATCTTCCATGGCATCTAAGGCCATATAATAGTGGTCCCGCAACTGTGATAGGGAAGAGTGGCCTGTTCTGAAACCATGTTGTCCAGAGTTATAGAGATGCTGTTATTCCATGTATTTTGTTATCTTATTTCTAAGCACTCTCTCAAAGATTTTTATGATGTGTGATGTTAATGCTATCGGTCTGTCACTTTTTGCCTTTGCCTTATTTTTTCATTTAAGTAGTGGTGCTATCTCTGATGTTTTTTGTATGTCAAAGATAATGCCAGTATCTAAGCTCATTTCTTTGTTGTCGTCTGTGAAAGTTCCATCTCTCTTTCGCAGGGGCCCAATAATAGATGTAGTTTTTTATCTTGATTTTGTATAAGAGAGAAAAACAATTTTGGATTTCATTCTATTTAACTGATGGCTTTTTGCTCTCTGTTTCTCTCTTGCATTTTGATCGATTCTTGTAGCTATAATACAATTATTTCTATTTCTCTACCTAGCCTTCTTCGTCGTTCTTGAGATAGAGTGTGACTCTCAGAGTTGTTCCATGATTTGTTTTCTTTGCCTATAGAGGCATGCGATATAGAGGCACCATTCCTGTTTTTCCAGTCTGCATTTCTTCCTCTTTTTTCGTAGAGGATATGTGGTTTGAGCATATTTTTAGAGCTACTGAGTTTATTTTTTCCAGGCACTGGTTCGGGTTTGCATTTTCTAACTGTTCTTCACGCTTATTTCTGTAAGGTCTTGGTTTATTTGCTCCCAGTTAATCTGTTTATTATCAAAATTGAATTTGCTGAATTCTCCTCCCCTGGGACTCGGGATTGGTTGTGCATTTAATAACAGGTAACAGGTAGTTGTAATCATTATGTTCTTGATCAATTTATCATTATTAGTGAAAATGAGGTCTGAATGAGGCCTAACCCCAGTCAATGGCAGACATGGAATACTCCCAAATACAAGGGGGTTTCCTTAGGCCATTGCTCCCTGCATCTCCGAGAGATGCACGTAGGCTCTGGCTCGTGGTCCAAAACAGAACGAGCCAGAACAGGCTAGGTTCTGGCTCGTGGTCCCCGGTAGGCAGAACTCTATTGACTGAAGCCCCAGCTTACTATAGCATATATCAGTTCGATAACTTCAGGGAGCTGAAGGGGCTCCCCACAGAAAAAAGATAAAAAAAAATTGAGAAACAGAACAAATTTAATTGTTTCATTTATGGGAAATGAACACCCCAGTGATTACCTCTGTCTGAAGTCTAGCATCATCTTGAAGCTTCCTATCCTTAATAGCTGCCAGAAGTTCTGAGAGTGTGTGGTGATAGCTGTCTTCAGTATCACCCAAAGTAGCTTGGAAAGAGGCAAGAAGTACCTCGTGTTTCTCAACATCTGCCTTTTCGATCTCAGTCTGGACACGCTGAACTTTGGCAACCCTAGATGGAAAAAAATCATTACCATTAAATCTGTCAATAATATTCTTGCTCATACTCTCATTAGCTTATGTGCAGATAATGAGATGGACCTGTTAATTCTACTTGGTCCACGAACTACAAATTCATACCTCTTCCCGAACTACAGTTAACACTTCTTCCCTACCTGCTAGACGATAGTCAGGCGAGGTGTGGACCGATTATATAAGCAATCTATAGAGAATAATCATCTTACAGGCTCACTGTAGCCCGTGCTACATGGACATTTTGTTCTGAGTAGCTAAATGTAAAACAACTACAGCAATCATCCGTCTACACTTCAAGAGTAGTTCAGTACAGATGCTTGAGAGATATCAAGCATTTTCAACACCGACTCGCTGTCACACCATTGATATTCAGCATGCACTTGACTAGCAGTCACACCTTTACTCGCCAAGCTATACCTACAAACTCCTGTAGACTACATTCATCCAATTATATATATATATATTTTACATACTCAGCATGCACTCGACTAATGGACTCGCCATCACACATCGATGTTCAGCATGCATTCGAGTTGCCATAACACCATTGATATTCAGCATGCACTTGACTAGCAGTCACACCATTGATATTCAGCATGCACTCGACTTGCAGTCACACCACTGATATTCAGCATGCACTTGACTAGCAGTCACACCATTGATATTCAGCATGCACTTGACTAGCAGTCACACCATTGATATTCAGCATGCACTTGACTAGCAGTCACACCATTGATATTCAGCATGCACTTGACTAGCAGTCACACCATTGATATTCAGCATGCACTTGACTAGCAGTCACACCATTGATATTCAGCATGCACTCGACTCGCAGTCACACCATTGATATTCAGCATGCACTTGACTAGCAGTCACACCATTGATATTCAGCATGCACTCAACTCGCAGTCACACCACTGATATTCAGCATGCACTCGACTCGCAGTCACACCATTGATATTCAGCATGCACTTGACTAGCAGTCACACCATTGATATTCAGCATGCACTCAACTCGCAGTCACACCACTGATATTCAGCATGCACTCGACTCGCAGTCACACCATTGATATTCAGCATGCACTTGACTAGCAGTCACACCATTGATATTCAGCATGCACTCAACTCGCAGTCACACCACTGATATTCAGCATGCAACTACAGCAATCATCCGTCTACACTTCAAGAGTAGTTCAGTACAGATGCTTGAGAGATATCAGGCATTTTCAACACCGACTCGCTGTCACACCATTGATATTCAGCATGCACTTGACTCGCTGTCACACCTTTACTCGTCAAGCTTTACCTACAAACTCCTGTAGATTACATTTGTCCAAATATACATATTTTATTAGTACAGTGGCACCTCTGTCGTAAGTAGGGGCAGTGAATTTTTCAAGTTACGACTCCAATTTCGTCGACAAATGCGACTCGACTTACAACCTTTGCCTTAACTGCCATAAGACATGGCAGGATGTGCAGAATACCCCCGTTGAAAAGCAGAGGTGCAACAGGTACTCTGAGAGAGAACTCCATCAACATCAGAGGCCGAGACTGTTCAACACGCTTCCACTACACATAAGGGACATAACTGGCAGACCACTCACAATGTTCAAGAGAGAACTGGATAAGCACCTCCAAAGGATACCTGATTAACCAGGCTGTGACTCATACATCAGGCTGCGAGCAGCCGCATCCAACAGCCTGGTTGATCAGTCCAGCAACCAAGAGGCCTGGTCGACGACCGGGCCACGGGGACGCTAAGCCCCGGAAGCAAATGTTCGGAAACCATACGGTCTGTCTGTTTTTATGTCATTACTCTCCAGGTGTTCAACCCATTTGGCTTTAACCATTTTTTGTTGTGTTTTGACTAACACGCTTGTTAATGACACCTGGGAGTAGTTCTACTCCCAAACCTCGGCCCGAGACCAGGTTTAACATGGGACTATAATTTAGAGGTTCCTCTTAATTACCATTTTTATAGACTGGTACTATGTTTGCCTTTTTCCTTTTAATTGCTAAGATTCATGTGCACAAGGTTGTCTGAAATATTATTTGGAGTGGGATGCTCAGCTTAGTTGCACATTCTTGCAACATCCAAGGTGAAACTCCATTAGGTCCAATTGCTTCATCTCTTCCTAGCTTCTTGAGTGATTTTTCCACTTCATCTTTGTGACATATATAAAATTATCTGACAAGAAGGAAATTAAAATTTGATGTAATAACAAACTGTTGACTCACTTGCACCAGTCAGCCAGGTTATCAGTTGTGTGGTGCAGTGTAGCAGTTACTGAGGCCAGCAGAGTTTCCAGACTTTTTGCCGTTTCCTTCATCTTCATTTTCTCTAACAAATGAAACTGTTCATCGTTGAAAGTCAAAGCTGAAAAATACAAGTAGAATTAGATTTTTTAACTGCATTTATTTTATATACTATTCTGGGGAGGGCTTCCTCAGCTAAGCCTAAGTAAGATGCACCAGGCTTCCGAGACTAACCTTTGTCTAATGAGAACCAACTACAGAATCTGGCTCTCTCTCTCTCTCTCAGGCAAGTGAAGCACGAAGATCAGAGAACAAGCCAAATAAAAAAAAAGCACTGAATGTAATGAAACGCCATTTTCTGAGTGAGACCTGGAGGTTTCCCGGAGCTATCCAGGCTGATATGTAACTACAGTATTAGCTTTCTTGCATCAAAGTGCATGGAGTTCTTGCCTACCGGGAACCAGGAGCCAGAACCTGGCCTGTTAGAGGGGCACGAGGAGCAATGGCCTAAAGTAACCCCCATGTGGTTGGGAGCATTCTATGTCTGCCATTGACCGGGTCTGGCTCCCAGGAAAATAGGCGCCCCAAAACAATCCCCTATTCTGGTAAAAATATTGCTACCAAAAGCTGAATGAGTGGATAGAACTCCCCAACGAAAATTAGCAAACGAGCATGACATCATCACGTTGCTGCATCACTTTCTGCGCAACCTTCCCCCTCCCAGGGAGGGGGAAGGGGTGAACCCCAAACCCTCGCACCGGCAGTTCATAGGTTGGATGTCAAAACACGCGAAAACACCGCTGACTGGAGGGAGGGAGGGATGTTGGGGAGCCTCAGGGTCTCACCCAGAAAATGGTGTTTCATAACATTCAACGCCGGTTTTCTGGGGAAAGCCCCTTCAGCTCCCCGGAGCTAACTACCCAAAGACAAGAAAAAACGCAGGGACTTACCCGGGAGGCGGTCAGTCCTCATTCCTCAATGCGAAGTCAAGAAAACTGGCTGCAACCGCCAACCCAATGCAACACAGGCTCTACCAAGTCCAGGGACACTGACAAGGTAGCATGCAGCCAGGACCCTGTTCGATCTCCAAAAACCATGTGTTCAAATGTCAACCCAGGACTTGTTGCCAAAGACCGCTGCTAAGGCAGCAAACTTACGAACGTCGTGGGCACGAGGATAGACCACAGGCTGTCTAGACTTAATAACCCTGCGGATGACCCAAGAGACCCAAGCCCGGGAACAGGGAAGGAAGGAAACCGGGTCAACCCAGAGTCCATCCCCGGCCACTGAATCAGAGGCACGCAGATAACGGTGGAGAGCCACAACCACGCACAACACATGATGAACCCCCGGCCTGACCAACAAAGCATCAACAACCCAAGGACCCCTCCGGAAAGCAGCAGTCTCATTCTTCGCCAGAAAAGGAGACGGCTGCAAATTAATAAACTTACCACCAGGACCGAAGGAGCAAAAACCCCTGTGCTGGAGCAGAGCATGTAGCTCCCCGACCCGACCCCCAAAGGCCAATGCTAACAGAAAAATAGCTTTAGAAAAACAATCCTGAACCCAAGGGGCCACAACAAATCGAGGAGAAGAAAGAGAGGAGAGCACCCGGTCCAAAGGCCAGGACGGCTCAGGAGGCACATGAGCAGGCCAGAGGTGAAACAACGCACAAGACAGCTTACGGAATGAGGCAGAAGTAACATCAACCCCTGGAGAACTAACAAGTCAGACATAGGACGGCAACTAGCCGAAGCCACCTGCAGATACTGCACAACCACAGACTCTGCAAACAGTACCGGAAAGAAACCAGCGTTGAATGTAATGAAACGCCATTTTCTGGGTGTGCCCTGGAGGCTCCCTGGAGCTTATCGGGCTAATGTATGTTATATTAAACCGGGACATTAGCTAAGGAGTTCAGACCTACCAGGGACCAGCGTCAGAACCTGGCCCCTTCAGAGAGGTTTCAGGGAGCAATGGCACTGGAAAACCCTCTTGTGGTTGGGGTTTTCCTTATCTGCCATCGATCGGGGTCAGGCACCCAGAAAGGTAGGCATGACAAAACAAACCCCACATGGTAAAAAACTAAAACAAAAAACCGAACGGAGAGGTAGAAACTCCCTACAATCCCAAGGAAACAAGCAAACATCACACTTTACTGCCGCGTCAATCGTCCGCGCAGCCCTCCCCGCCCCGAGAGGGGGAGAGGGAAGCCCCGGACCTACCGCACCGGCTGCCAAACTTCAGTTCGGAAGCTAAGCTTCAACCAACGCGTAAAAAAACGCCGACCGGTGGGAGGGAGGGTTGCCAGGGAGCCTCCGGGGCTTACCCAGAAAATGGCGTTTCATTACATTCAACGCTGGTTTCTGTGGGGAGCCCCTACGGCTCCCTGAAGCTTCATACCCAAAGAGAAGGAAAAGAAAGGGCTAACCCGGGAGGCGGCCGTCACAAACTCCGCAACGCGAAGCCGAGACAACAGGATGCAACCTGCGACTCAAGGCAACAAGAACGCACAGGAGCAGACGCGCATAAAGAATGGGCGGCCAAGAACCTGTGCGACCCTCAATTCCCTGCGCCCAAAATAAGCCCTAGACGTCACCAACACAGCAGCAAAAGCTGCAAACGTCCTAACAGCACGGGCGCAAAGACAGACTGCAGGCTGGAAGACTGAAAAACTCTGCGGACAACCTGGGAGACCCGAGCCCTGAAACAGGGAACGAGGGGAACCAGATCAAACCAAAGCACATCCCCAAACACGGTAAGCAGGTAACGGCAAAAAGCGCAACTGGAAAACACAGGACGCACCCCCGGCCAAACCAATCAAGCATCAATAACCCAAGAACCCCTCTGGAAACCAGCCGTCTCGACCGTCGCCAAGACAGAGAAAGGCTGCTCACGTACAAATCTACCGCCAGTACCAAGGAGCAGAAACCTGAACCGAAGGGGCTACCACAAACTGAGGAGAAGAAGAAGGCACCCTGATCAAGGACCAGGACGGCGCAAGCGTTGCATGAGCAGGCCGGAGGTGAAACAAAACACGAGAAAGCGTACGAAACGGGGTAGATATGATGTCCACCCCGAACGCAAGCCGGAGCGGCTCTGCCAGCGCCACATAAAACGAGGCAACAGTAAGAAAACATCAAATAACTGTAGTCCAGAAAACCCAAGAAAGTACAAGACAACCCGATGCGAAAGAGAAGACAACGAACAAAGAGCAAGAAAAAGTGCATAGAAACACCAGGAACGTCATACTGTCGCCAAGATGAAGCTCGCAGGTGGGACACCGACAACAAGGCCACCTGAACACCACAGAGATGGTGATACCCGCGTCAAAATATCAGACGCGAAGAGCCGAGGAGAAGGCTGAACCAGTCACGAACAGGACCGATCCGACCTGCCGAAAGAGGCGGAGCCGTGGGAAAACGCCTCGGGTTCGAGAAACAGGCTCGAAAGCCTCTGTCGCTTCCCTGGAAGGGGAAACCCCCAAGACCGCCCGAGTCTCAAGACCATCGAATCCCTGCCCCGACCCCGAACCCCCACACAGAAAGGATCCGGATGCAGGGAGGAAAGGGGGGAACCAGACGAAATCACAACAGGGGAAAGACAAGGGGCGAGGAAGGAACAAAGCCAAAGCAACCAACACACTCAAGCCCCATCACGACAACCAAAACGGAGCAGCCTCAGGGCTTCGGGGAGCAAACAACCTAACGCGTTGCAACCACCTGAACCCAACGTGCAATGCCCGTGCTGCCTGCACCCTGCACAGTCAGCATAAGACCGGGTAACCGAGTCACAAATAAGCAACGAAACTTGCAGGACTCCGGGTCGAAGGTGCCACCGACCCCACAGGCAGCAGACAGAGGCAAAAACAATGAGAGTCACCCTGAGAGAAGGAGACAGAGCAACCCTCAAACTCTGGGGAGCCTCCGGGTCTCACCCAGAAAATGGAGTTTCATTACATTCAACGCTGGTTTTATGTCTTTACACCCCAGTCACTCAAGTCCATCACTTACAGGGATCTTTTTATCTCCTTGTGGGATAGAAATAGATCCCTGTAAGATATAGACTTAGATCCCTATAAGTGGACACACTACCATCCAGCCCAACCACTTGGACTGGATGGTACAGCAACAGATTCGCTTCATGCAGGTTGGTGTTCAATCCCCAATGTTCCAAGTGGTTGGGCACCATTCCTTTTTATTGTCCCATCCCAAATCCTTATCCTGATACCTTCTAAGTGCTATATAGTCATAATGGCTTGGAACTTTTTCCTGGTAGGTCCCTTCCCTTCCTCCCCATCCTTCACAGTTATTCAGTTCATCTATTTATAACAGAGGTGCTGAAATTTTGAGGCAAACAAAAAAATTAATTTACTTCTTGCTGCTCTGTCTCTGAGGAGATGTTGCCATGATTCCCGCATCTTATTAACATAGGTGGAAGCTTTGTTCGGTGCTCGCTCTACTGTTGCTGCATCATTCCTGACCTGCTGCCACTGGCGACGCAGCTGTGCTCCACTCACCACTCTCTCATACAGCTGGCTCACCACAGGTACTATAGCATTCAGAGACTCGCGTACCTAGGAACAGAAGAGTTAACTATTTTATATGCTTACCTTGTGTGCTTTTAACTTAAAATAATACATTTTGAAATTTCACTGAAAAATATGCCGAATAAAATACATTTCTATGTGCAGAATAATGAAAAAAATTATAATCTATGTTGAGGTGCAACACTGATGGTTCTGAACAACAAGAGATGTATAAGCAACATAGCCTCCAATGATGTAATAATATTTAATACATAAATAATACATTATGAGAGTCTTGTATGTAATTTACAGTAAATTTTCTTTTTATATTTTAACACTTTCTCATTTTAAAGATTCTAAAGCAAATCATCCATACTCAGAGAGTGAAGGCTCTGATGATGCTAAAATAGGTCATCCATACTCCGATAGTAAACGGAGTATACTGTCATGACACTCATGGCACTAAAATGTGTCATCCGACTGCAAAATTTTTGGTTTTCAGTTCCGAAGCTACTGCCTATCTTTCTGGGCACTTCCCTTGGATGGTGGCAAAGATGATAACTTTTAAATGTAGAATGTTCATAGGCAATCACTCCCTTTCCCTCTCTAGAGGGAGCAAGGTTCAAGCTCATGTTCCTCAATAGGTCAATACAACTCCACAACCAATGACTATTAGTATTGCATTTAATCAGTGTGGTAGCTTCATGGAACATCCAGGGTACAGAGGAGACACTAGCAGCACTTAAATCTCCGTGGTGTAGTGGTAAGACACTCGCCTGGCGTTCCGCGAGTGCTATGTCATGGGTTCGTATCCTGGCCGGGGAGGATTTACTGGGCGCAATTCCTTAACTGTAGCCTCTGTTTAACGCAACAGTAAAATGTGTACTTGGACGAAAAAACGATTCTTCGCGGCAGGGGATCGTATTCCAGGGACCATAGGATTAAGGACTTGCCCGAAACGCTACGCGTACTAGTGGCTGTACAAGAATGTAACAACTCTTGTATATATCTCAAAAAAAAAAAAAAAAAATCAACAGAAATAGCTTCTGTGCATAAGGGAGGTAGTAAAGCTTTGGCAAAAAATTATAGACCAGTTGCACTAACATCACACATAATAAAAGTGTTGGAAAGAGTGATTAGGAATCAAATTTCTAGTTTTATGGAAAATAATAAACTACACAACCCAAGACAACATGGATTTAGAGCGGGAAGATTCTGTCTGTCACAGTTACTCGATCACTATGACAAAATTACAGATGCCTTAGAAGAAAAGCATAATGCAGATGTTGTATATATATATAGACTTTGCAAAGGCATTCGACAAATGTGACTATTGAGTAATAGCCCATAATATAAATCAATAGGAATAACGGGTAAAGTTGGGCATTGGATTTTCCACTTTCCATCAAACGGAATGCAGAGAGTGATGGTCAAACAAATAAGATCAAGCCCAAGTGCAGTGAAAAGCTCTGTAACCTATTCTCATTCTTATCTCGGAAACAGACAAAAATACTGGTCACAGCTTCGTGTCATACTTTGCAGATGATACAAAAAACCAGCGTTGAATGTAATGAAACGCCATTTTCTGGGCGAGTCCCGGAGGCTCCCCGTTGCTATTCAGGCTGAATGTATATGTATAACTTTCTGGCATCAAAGTGCTAGGAGTTCTTGCCTACCGGGGACCACGAGCCAGAACCTGGCCCCCTCAGAGAGGCACGAGGAGCAATGGCCTATAGAAACCCCCTTGTGGTTGGGAGCATTCTATGTCTGCCATCGACCGGGATAGGCACCCAGAAAGGTAGGCGCCCAAAAACAAACCCCTATTCTGGTAAAAATATTGCTACAGAAAGCCGAACGAGTGGACAGAACTCCCTAAACAAAATTATCTAACTAGTATGACGTCATCACGTCGCTGCGCCACCGACTGTGCAACCCCCCCCCCTCCCCAGGAGGGGGAAGGGGGAGCCCCAGACCTTGGCTGGATGTCAAAATACGCGAAAAACGCTGCCGACCGGAGGGAGGGAGGGAGGGATGCCGGGGAGCCTCTGGGACTCACCCAGAAAATGGTGTTTCATTACATTCAACGCTGGTTTTCTGGGGGGAGCCCCGTTGGCTCCCCGGTGCTACTTCACCACAGATAAAGAAAACAGGGAAGGAACCGGGAGGCGGATGCCACGCGCCCTAACCTAAAAACCCAAGACCACAGACAAAACAAGGACCAAAACGAGACGAAAATAGACCACCCAGGCCAACTACCAGGACGGCACCAGAACTCAAGAGCAGGCCAGAGGGAAACTACGCCCAGGACAGCAAGTGGAATGGAGCAGAAGGAACCGCAACACCGAACGCAAGCAGGAGCGGCTTCGCCAGCACCACCCAATACGAGGTGAAAGGACACGAGCCCAGACGACAGACCCGGAACAACCCCGAAGGGAAGACAAGCCAACCCTATCAAAGACCGAAGGACCCTTCGCAGTGATAGGAAAACCAGAAGGACCACCAGGAAAACCACTCATCGCCCCCGAGACGAAACACGCAGGTGAGAGACCAATAAGGAACCCACCAGTGCCAACACAAACGACGAGAAACTAGCACCACGAACAAAAGCACAAAATGCGAATCGAAAAACTGCGACCCCACAACCCAAGGGAGCAAGATAACCAGCTCCAGTAGGAAAGAAAGACGCACGCGTCTCAGAGGCATCCAAAAGGAGAACTACCCAGGACGTGAACCGCAGGAAAGCAAACACATACCCGTTCAGGAAAAGGAACAAAGAAAAACCGGAGCCAGGACCGGAACCCAGCAAACCCAGTTCCAAGAAAAGGAACCAGAAAGGCAGGAGTGGCAGACCAAAAGTCCACAACCCCCCACAGACAGCGCAACACCGAAGCCTGCAGGAAGTCACACAGAAAAACGCAGGAACTCGGTACTAAAACGGAACACCGGAGAAGTCCAAAAGCAGGGAACTTAACATGGACAGAGGCCCACCTGAGCACCAAACAATAGGATAGGCCAGAAGCACTGACCCAGATACACAAATAGGTGGAGCATGGAAGGAGGAAAAACGGAAATAGGTAAGGAAAACCCCGAATACGGCCCAAGGAGCGGCCGGGAAGGAAGGCACATGACCAACCACAAAATGTGTAGAGGAGGGCGTACATACCCGATGGACCTCATGGACAGCAAGGTGCAGTCAGGCACCGAAGTTAGGTAAGGAATGAGTGTCCCGAGATGGAAAAGACCCAGGCGTCGACAACGAAACCAAAAGCGCCGAAATGCGGGGCAGAGCCCCACAGGAAAACAAAGAACAAAAGACAGGGACAAAAGTCACTGAAGACCCACGCAAAGTGACCAAACAACACACCACACCAAACACCCCTTTTAGGAGCCATCGACTCAATCCCGCCAAGCGGGGAAGAGTAAACAAGGATGGAGCAGTGAACAAGGGTGGCGGAGTGAGCAGATTATCCCAATAAGATACTCCGCTCCAAACGCATTAGCCTAACGAGAGAAAATCCTCCATTAGCTCTATTGAGGATCAATTATGGAACTCAAACCGTTCTAAACTACCAGTTAATATGCCTGCCAACCTTTGGAGAACGGTGATGTATCGCCCGAGCATAGAAGCAGCAGAGTAGCGAATAATAACTAGTCGACCTGCAAGTGTGGTCTAGAACAGACACTTTGCAAGAAACCGTACCGACTCTCAATGCCCTGAACCCGCACCATTGCCCGCCAAAATAACACCCACACACCACTGCATATGCAACAAAACATATGTAGCCTCTGAGTGGTTGTTTATCGTCACCAATCTTCACGAAACAATAGAACTGGGACAAAGGCACATGCCACCCTTGCGACACATTTTGGACATGAAACAATGAGCATAAAAGGGTTAAGTGTAGAATCAAAAAAGACCTGAGGAATGACCGGCACGGTAACAGGTTCGGTGATTCGTGGAACCAACAACCACGTAACGTGGTGGTGGAGCATGGGAGACGACATGTATGTGTGCAAACGTGGATTGGACATGTATATGAGCGGGAATGGGTGGGAAGAAAAAGGAGCTGCCTCGTACGGGCCAATAGGCCCTCTGCAGTTCCCCTGGTCTTATGTCCGTATGGTCGTACGCACAAGGGGACACAGGATGCGGAAAGCACTAAGATGCTATGTGGTGGAGGCAGACTCCACCCACAGGAGCAACCGTAGAGAAGACAGAGCTCAGGAGGCTCAGGAAACTGCACAACTGTCAACTGACAGGAGAGGTGGGGCCCAAGAGCCAGAGCTCAACCCCCGCAAGTACAACGAGGCAAGCACCCCACCAAAAAGTGAGAACCAGCCCATGGCTGACAGAAGCACCAGACATGAGAATCTCACCTGCAGAGCAGACACATGACCGTGCCACAACACAGGCGAGCAAAGTAACATACCGGGAGAGCGCTAATGGTGTGCCCGAAAGCCAAGCAAACTCGAGGCAGTAGGCATGGTACGTACCGTTACCTGAATAAAATTCGGAAGTCGAAGGAGAAATACGTCCAGAGGCACGCCCCGCAGAAGACGGAGCAGGACAGAGGGGGAGGAAGCGGCGCCACGCCGAGCCATCCCACACCCGGAAGCAGAGGAAGAACGAAGTGACACCCCCAGATATAAATCCAGAACACCCTCAGCATCCAGAGTTCTACGACTGGAGGGAGAAAACAAGCAAGAAGCCATAGAAAAACCACGAGAAACGACGCGAACACACGAGTATACCGCCCATAAACAAAACGCACACTGCGGCCCCAGCACACGAGGTACGAATGCACCACCTGTCCACCAGGAGGCGTGGCTTGTACACCAGGCGGACACACATATCGTACACACACAACGTACAAAACACAATATAAACACACATCGTACAAACACCAGGAAGGCGTGCGTAACGAAAACGAAGAATGCCGAAAATGGAAGTAGAGACGACACGAAAACAAAACAAGGCGAAAACGAAGCAAAAGAAAACAGATGACGGAAGGTAACCAACGAGGCCGACAAAAGACCAGAGGGAAACC